GTTGGTTGAGGACATATAGGCCTAGTGTTCCCATATATTCACTACATATACTAAATTTAGGCGGAGGTGGTGTAGGGGCAGGTGGCGCACTATCTCACACGCCTTCCGGGATCGGTGAATTGGTACCAAATTCGTCTGGGAGGATAGAAGCACTGACTTGTACATCGGCTGGCCACCGCAAGTCATTGTATAGGCCACATACGCACTCATCACGCCTCTACGATTCTGAATGGAAGCCGAGTGCGGGGCGCATCCCTCAGACGGGATTGGTTTACGCCAAAAACTTTGTCCTTATATACTGAAGTTTACTCAACATCCTCAAATGGTTCCCTTGAAGGTTTATTAAATAAACAAAATCATTTCAGATGATCCTGATCTTGTTTATACACATTTTCTTCAATTATCACAATGCTATGAGTCGATGTCTACCAACAATAAAGTTGTTGTTTTCACTGATGATTTATCAGTACGGAAAGCGTTCTATGGACTTCTATATAATTGTAAGTTTATCTGTTTACTAATTTGCTTTTGTACTGACCAAGGATCCATCGTGATTTGAAAGTCTCGTTGCACTAAAAACAGTTCTACTGTTCTACACTGTCTTCAGTAAATATATCTAAAAGTGATCAATCTGAAAGCACATTCAGAGATATTTTTATTATTTTATTTTTATTTGTTTTAGTTTTTTATTTTTCATCGTAGTGAGGGTTCGATTTTTGGTACTATCTCCCTTGCTGTTGAAAGGGTTGTAAAACGAGAAGCGGAGCTTTTCAGCGTCAGTTTCCGAAGGAAAATCAAAATATTCCGATTTCTAGTGTTGGAAAAATGTCCTTTTATGTCAATTTCTTTTTCATATCTTTAAGACAGTCAAATACAGCGTGACAGTAACAGAGTAATGGTAATAGTCTCCGATGTCTGCGGGACTTTTCCCACTTTCCTCTATTGTCCTTACAGTCATGTTGTCCTCCTTATAGGCACAGTTCACGATAAATGGCTCATGGGATATCCCTCTAGGATAAATCTGTGGCCCTCTCGTATACCATACGTGGGCTATCAGGTTGGGAAACGGCTTAGATAGAGCGTCATAAGGGTATGCACGGATGAAGTTCAACGGCATAGTACAGGCTGCACCATTCACAAAGGAACCCATGGAGCAAGTTTGAAGGGTACCTCAGGGTTATCGGGTACTATGGTTTTAAGCAAAACCTGCGCTGGATTCTTTTCCTCGTCTCCCACCTATCCTTATTTTCGACTTTGTTTTTGCCCATTCGAATTATTTTTTAAATTTTTTTTTCAAATTTTAAACTAGCTGAGCTAAAGGATTAGGTACTACTTGAGGGCGGCTTATTCTCTTCACTGAATGTTAGTCAAGCTCTTTCGCAACTAGTAAGTTCCCCTTCTTGATTTTTACCGATTTCTTGTTTCAGCCACACGAACTGGTCTCATAGCGGATTCGAAGACAATGCAGGTCATGGGTGTACTGTCAATTACTGATTTTACCATGATGCTTATGATGTTGTGGAAATTCCGTGAGAATATAGAGGAAATGAAGGGGAAACCGATAACGTATGACGAGTTCAAAGGAATGGACATAGCAAATATCAAGATAAGCCGATGGAAAGGTTACTTTACTTGTTGCCTATTTAGAAACCTTTGCCTTTTTTCGTAAATGTAAAATTTGTTTGTTTAGAGTTGCTCCGAAGGAAAGGAATGCAGAGGGATTTTATTAGCATCAATTCAAATCAAAGGTTTGTAAATATTTGTTAGAATGTCTAATAAAAAATTTGTTGAGAACATTATTGGCACTGACTCAGTACTGGTTAACTTTAACAAGATGGGTATGACTTGTTCAACTGCAACACCAAATGAAAAAAGCAAAAAAAAAAAGATTACCGGA